CTTCCGATCTCCCCCGTGGTTTTGTTTTTATCCGCGCGTGGATGTTGGCAGGTTGAGGTTGCTGTTACCAAGGCCATCCATGGCGAATCCGTCAACAACCTCTCCGCTCTGGCCAACCCCGACAGCCTGCAGCAGTTCCACGAGGCTGGGAGAGCGTTACGCGGTTTGGCGCCCTTCCTTCCACCGCCGCCACCCGTCTCGCGACTGAAGTAAATATGCAAGGACAGAAAGACTACCTTCCTTCGGAGCGGCGGGTGTGCCAAAGTGACCAACCCTCCACACACATGCGTCAGCCGGTGGCATGCGTTGACGACGTATATTGTTGTCAAAGGGGTAGGTCTTAGTGCTTGCTGTAGATGGCAAGCGAGAACGTGGTCACACCTACTACGAAGCTCATCGGCAGCAAGAGAGGTGTGTAGGATGGCATGAACCACGCAAACCTTTGCTGGGATTTTTCTTTCGTGGCTGGCCAGCTAGCTCTCTTTTGTGGGATGCAGCGCATGCTTTCCCCACTGTGGCCACCTTTCGTACCAGTGCCAGTGCTTTCACTGCCTAGTGTCTCGCCCCCTCCCAAGTTTGCAGCGGTGGTGCCAGTCAAACACAGCCTTCGAAGTTGCTAGAGGAGCCATTACATGAAAGGCAAACGTTTGGCATGAAGAATATATGGTTCTGCCGAGGAGGCATTATTACACGTGGTAGTTCCTGCTTAGTTCGCACACAGAACTTTATTTTCACTCATTTCTCTCTTCTCGCCCGCGTCCAGAGCGCTCACATATTTACACAGGATAGACTCTTCGTCAAGATCCTGCCGCTCTGCAATAGTTAATCCAAACGGTCCTCTACGCCACCACCACCGAGGACGTCTACATCCGCCTGCAGTTGTACCACAACACTTTTCAGCGGCGACCCGTCCAACGCCGCGCAGAGTGTCCTCGTGCCCTCACGCAGGACGCCGATGTGTCGCCGCCGCAGCTGCCCTTGCAAGCCCTGGTCACGCACCACGGTCTGCAGACATCGCAGGATCGGCTCCAACGGCTGAGTTCCCCCGATCCCGACAGTTCGGTCCTGCATGGCGGCACCCGCTGCGTCGTGCTTAGCGGCCTCGACAACCTCAGACGTTGTTTCCACTATGAGCGCCACCATGAGAGGCAAGAGGGCCGGCCAGCGCTTAACTAGGACTAGCACCGGACGCAGGAGGCGTGCTCCGCGAGCCTTCTCCGCTGCCTCGGCCGTCCCTGCAGTTTTCATCGCCCAAACGCATGCCGCAGCCATTGGCTTCTCGAGGGCGGACAGCGGGGATGGTGTTGGTTTGGCGTTGCCTGTACCATTGTTGGTGTCGGCCGGGACTGGTGAGCGAAAGAACTCTGTTGCCACGTCTAGCCCTTCCCAGCAGCAGAGCACACACGCCATCGCTGCCCGTTGTCCCTGCAAAACTGCGGCCAATGAGCCTTCATCCAGCGACCGCACGACGGAGACATCGCCGCCGCCCCTTCCCCCGGCCGTGCCTTGCGGTTTCTCTCCCTTTCCTGCGCTGCTCCCGCCACCCTGTCGAATGCTTCGATGTCGCAGTAGCTGCAGGAGCGTCGGCTGCAGAGCCTCGAGCACAGTCCCGCCGCGCGTCCCGATCATCGCGAGCGAGTTGCATACGGCACCTGTCACCTCATCTCTCCCGAACACCGTTTCCCACAGCGTGGAGGGCGCAACCACCGCCGCTATTGCTGGTTCCTCGCCATGCGTGGCGCCGTCACCTCCCCCAGTCGCACCTGGCCTCTGCCGGCGCCGCTTTCCGCTACCACTACTACCCCCTGCCCGTTGTTCGGCTGTTCTTTTGGCCCCACCCGTGTTCTTCACGCCCGCGGATGCTGTCAATATGCTCACCAGAAAGCCAAGGTATGCGCTGGGGCTGAGGCTGCGGCGGCGGTGGTGCATCACCTTGTTTCATCAGCCAGGAAAACATGCAATACAGGAATTCGATTGGGATTCAAGACGTACGTGGTGAGGAGTCCAGCAGGGCCCCTCTCCAGGACCCAAAGAAACCATGGGTGGCTAAATAAGAATTGTCCCGCATCGATTGCAGTTGGATCGATAATATGCCGTGTTTGTCGTCAGGGTGTAGAGAGAATCAACAGAAATACGGGGCGTAGGACGCTACTTGTACCAACGAAAAACAAAGCACACTAATGTCAACGAATTCGAATGCACCAATCTACATTACACGATTCGCAGCGCGAACGCCCCATGCCCCAAGCACGCTGCAAACGAAAAGCAGTTCGGAAAAGTGTTGTGTGCTGTCACAAGGCAAGTCGTATAGGCAAAAACATATAATCCTCTAGACGCTCACCTCCAGCACAAACGAGCGAATGTCCTTATCAAGTGCCGTGGGTTCCGAGCACGCCGCCGCGAGCTCACACACAACTTTGCCCGGAATCGAGGGAAGGTGGTAAAGGAACGAGATAGCATTCCTCTGCGCAGCCGCCGGTAGCAAGAGGAATCCTTGATCGCCGAAGAACTCAACCAGCAGTGCAGGTTCGATGGAGCGCAGGAGCTCCGACGATGCCACTGCCCACTCCCCCCCTTTACACCCCGACCCTGCCGCGAGGGCTCCCCCTGCACTAGTCGTCTTGCCTTTTGCCTTCCCCTTCCCGGTGGGATTTCCGCCGACATCTGCTCCCCTCGTCGGGAGGGGCTGCTGGGGGGGAAGGGCGTGCTTGGCGACCTCCACGAGGACCCCAAGCACAGCCTCCGAGTCTCTCGGAAACTCGCCACCCCAGCGGCACAATAGCTCGGGCAGCGACCGCAGCCAGCGGCAGACCTCGGGAGGGGTCTCGGGGTCATCGCTGACAGCCTCGCCGTTCGTCGCACCCCGCAAAAGAGTTGTCGCCAAGCAGCACACGAACCTGATGCACAGCAGCTTGGCCTCGCAGTGGGCGGGCAAGGATTCCAAGAAGTCGCCGAAAGCTGACAGTAATCGCTGCCTATGGTGGCGGTGACGTTGGTGGTAAAGGATCGAAATAGAACGAACGAGGGCGTGGGGGAAAGGGAGGGCAGGGGCAGACAAGCCAGATGACCATGCGTGGATGCGTGTTTGGCGCATTTCGGGCCTTTCAGGACACTACATCATGAAACCAAGCGGAAATCAGGCCCGTGGGTATATTTCATGACATGAATGAGCAACTACTCATCAGGGACATTGGTCCCGAAATATAGCGCACCACCTTGAACTATTCATCACCGAACAGTACGTGCCGGCACGCCATCAGAGGTATCTTCCCTATATACCTCCCACACGAGAAAGTGCTCACCTTTGGGCTGTCCAGTCCGAAAAGGCACTTGACGTCGCTGCCGGGTTGTAAGTTGCAGCGCTCAGGACGCGCAAGACGCTCGACATCTGCGGCCCTGCCACACCGCTCCTCCCAACCTCGTCTCGCAGCACCTCATGGACGTGCGCCAGAACGGGGGCAAGCCACTCAGAAGGGTCCTCCCCTCCGCCTGCGCCGCTGGCATCGGGAGCGGCAGCGGCAGCAGCAGTGATCGCCCCGGGACCGGCGCAGGCCGCTACCACAAGCTCGCACAGGCCCATGTTGAGCCCTTGGATAGCTCGCAGCCGCTCCTCTTCCACATTTCCCAGCAACTCACCTTCGAGCGGGCGAACGGGAAACGCTTCGAGGACTAAGGGCACGAAACGCGAAAACCATGCGGACGCGCCACCGCCCGCCCCTTCGCCACTTCCGTGCCCGGTGGCAGCGTGCCACGGGACCACCATCGCCGAGTTGATGCCCCTTCCGCCTTCATTACCTCTAACGTCATCCGCGACGCCCCCTCTAGAAGCCGTCCACGCAGGGGAAGCGATCGCCTCCGAAAGCACGTGCACCACATTCTGCATTAACCCGATGTCTGGAGGGACGGCCGCCAGGGCTTCTATCCACACCTCACGCAGCCTTTCCAAGACAGTCGGTAGGATAGACGCTAGCGCTTTGATCTGCGGCGAATCAGCTGTCGGGCCAGCTCCGCCCGTGCCGCCGCCACGGCTATCTGCATTCCCGGCCAACACGGTCGTCGAGCAAGGGCATAGCATCAAGGCGCCATTTCTCCGAGAACCTTGCTTCCACGACAACCTAGCCGTCCCCAAACCACCGCCGCCACCAACACCACCAACACCACCTCCGGCCTTGCCCCCGCTATTACCACTACCATACCGCCGCGACACAGCCCTGAACAAGCTCACGAGGCTTTGCAGGGCTTCCGCCCTTCCTGCGTGCTTCTTGGAGGCCGGATCGGCAGCGAGTAGGGTAGCATAGTTAGGCGCCAGACGCTCGGCCCGGTCAGCTACGGCGGCGGGGAAGCGGGCTAACAGGAGGGCGAGCAGCGTGAGGCTGTCGCGCCGGACGCCCTTAGTCAGGCTGGTCATGGCACTGACCACGTAAGCCATGTACAGGTTCGCGAATGGAGAGAAGGTCCGGGCAGATACACAATTCAGCAGCGTCTCCTGAAATGCCAGCAGGCCTCTGTTTGACGGCAATCAATTCGGGGGTGGCGGGGAGATGTGCGTTGGGACAGGCGGGTCACGGGTTCGCGGGCTTTATAAATACCCTTGGAAAGCACTTCTCCTATATCGTATTACCACAACACCTTTAATCGCCGCTTCTCAATGTTGTCCATTTACAAATAGCCCAAGAAACGTGTCATCTCCATGATTCAGCAGGTTTCCCGTGGCTCGCAGGAGTTTCCACATGCATATATAAAGAAATTCGATCCTGTACAAAAGCGTCCAAGATGGGTTCGGAGAGAGAGCCGAAACCCCCGGCCGTGCTCGACAATATGCTGTTTGTCATGGCATATCCACGGAGATCAGTCAGCGCTGCTGGGAAGGGACTTCGGGGGGAACTGGGGGCTCCGTGTGAGGTAAAACTTCTCTGCTCAACTACGGCAAGGTTCGACACAATACACACAGCTACCCCAACGCATACAAACAACCCCCGTCTGTTCGGAAAGAACGGCCATTCTGTTTGGCCCAACCGTCGGTACTCACTTTCGAACATCGTTGTCGAAGCAGACGGCCAGCTCGAGGCTGGCTTCCGCTAGCCTGGCGAAGTTTACCTCCGCGAATGACCGGTGTCGGTCCACGATCGACTTCAGGCCCGCCAATGCTTCACGCTTGCTGGCTGGGCTGTAGTGACGCAGCTGGACCAGCAGCTCCTACTCGTTTGGCGAAGCAGCCAGTTCGATGAGGGGGGGGGGGGGG